CTTGTCTGAATCCTCGTTCGGTATTGAATGGCTCCGATAGGTCCTTTCCTACTTTAACTGCTGACCTTATGCCAGTTAAAGTTATCCTGCATATCTGAATTAATTATGCAGGAATGCCGAACGTTGACATGGCTTTAAACACTTCTGAACGGATAGGGCTGTCGAATGCGGCTTTATAGTCGACAAATAGGTGGTATGTGTCGATGTGTTTTTCGTGGGTCTTTTCCATGATTTGGCGCAGAGTGAAAATCTGGTCAATGGTAGATTTGCCAGGTCTGAAGCCGCTTTGGTATGGTCCGATTATGTCATTGACCATTGGCTTCAATCGTTCACACAGCACACTGGATAGCACTTTATATGCGACGGGAAGGAGACTTATTCCTCTATATTAGGCACATATCGTCTTGTCTCCTTTTTTGTACACGGGACACAGGATGCTGAGGTTCCAATCATTGGGCATGCATTCATCTAGCCAAATTGTACTAATCAGCTGGTGCATGCTCCTGACCAGCATCTGGCCAACAGTCTTGAATAGTTCGGCTGGTAACCCATCGGCTCCTGCTGCTTTGTTGTTCTTCAGCCTATTGATTGCTATTCTGACTTCATCTTGGCTAGGTGGTGTACACTCTATACCATCATCTCTTATTCGTTGTGGGGTATCCTCTTCAACGCTACTATTTGATACCAGGAGTTTTTCAAAATGCTCCTTCCAGATCCTCAGCACGCTGTATGTATCTGTCATCAGGTTTCCTTCTTCATCTCTACAGGAGGATGTGCCTGCACCAAAGCCTTCGGTTTGATGTTTTACCCGTTGGTAGAATTCGGACTTCATTCTGACTCCTGTACATCTCGATTTACTCACGCTCACGATTTTCTAGTTCTTTTCATCATTTTTCTGAAAACACCTTTCTCCTCTCTACCTTTCTCCACGCCTATTATAGCCCTTGAAAAAATATTCTTTATAAAATCCACGCCTATCATAGCCCTTGAAAAGTATTCTTTAAAAAATCCAAACCTATTTTGGACTCCGAAAAAATTCAACGCCATTCCAAAATCTACGCCTATTTTGGGCCTCGAAAAAATATTTAAAAAATCCAGGCCTTAGTTCGCTCTTGAAAAATATTCTCTACAAAATGCACTGTTGCAATAGCATAAGAAAAAATTATCCGCAAATTTTAATTAAGACATTAAAAATAATTTTTTTACGAAGTCATGGCCGAACAATTTTGAAGATAATTTTTTTGCACATAAAAAACATTGTTGTTGTAGATTAAAGGCAAGAATGTAAGCCGCTGCAAAATGAAATTTTCCAATTTTCCAATTTTTTTAATTCCTCTGAAGTCAAGCATTAAGAGCGAATAACAAGTACCAAAGATTAGGAAGTTTCATTTGGCAGCTAAGCTGCCAAGCTGGCGCTGCTACTGAGGAAATCAAAATGCGGTTTGTGAATTGTCTTGGCCACATTTGCAGCAGTTACTCTCTGCCAACTGAAATGAAACCGCAAACCATTCAAATCCTAACTAGGCAAAAAATACGATTTGTAAATGAAGTTATGCTAAAAAACAACAACACCAACATAAATATTGGAAATATCTGCAACAACAACAACAACAAAGATAATGTAATTAACCACAAAATTAAAAAAACACTGCTTGAAGAAGTAGTAATGAATGAATACATCGCAGATCGAACCAACCTACCGATGTGAGCTAACGCTCGAAACAAACAGAATTTAACATCAATGAAGCTCTAAGATTCGCAAATCGGATTGAAGCATGCAATTTTCTATTTTTTCTTTTTTTGCTATTGTTGTTTAGATGTGAAAAAGGAAAGGTTGTCTTCAATTCAAATTTATGGCGAGAAAACGCCTTACCGGCACAGTGGTTTCAAATGGATTTTTGAAGGAATATTTTTCAGGCGAGAATTTTTTTAAGTTTTTTAAGGGCTATAAGAGGCGTGGATTATTTAATTAATATTTTTCTTAGGTAGATTTCTTTTAGAGAATTTTTTTTCTTCAGCTCTTAGAGGCGTGTTTTTTTTTAAGCTTTTTTCTGGAGCTCTTAGAGGCGTTTTTTTTAAGATTTTTTTCTGGACTCTTAGAGGCGTGTTTTTTTAAAGATTTTTTTTAAGGATCATGTTCTGATAGACGGAAGGCATTCATCCAGTGTTTTAGACGTTTCGGACAATTACCTTGTGGCAGCCAAGGTACGCTCGCGTCTTAATGTAGCAGCAAAAGTGCGATCTAATGTGACACGGAAACTCGACGTCGAAATACTGCACACATTGCAGATAACAGAAGTCTACTCCGCTCAACTTACCCAACTGCTGTTACTTGCTCTCGTGAAAAAAGGGTTTTTGGTCCTATCGGGACAACAGCTATTCAATTGAATTTTCAAGGGGTGTGTTCTCAACCGATATCCCTTAGGCACACAACAAAATTGTTTATTGGAACAACAAAAGTCTAAATATTCCTAAGTACACCATCGTCCTTTAAAACCCCACCAACGGATAACCGATGTGATGCCCACCCAACCAATGAATACCGTGTCTTACACCATATTCAGTGACCCCAAAAACCGATCCGATCACACAACTGCTTGACGAAAGCACCCCTTGTCCCGATAATAATATAAAAGCACAGTGGCAGGGAATTCCCACCCCCTACAAACTGCAGCAGAAGCAACACCTGGTTAGCAAAGACCATCATCAAGAAATCCATGGTACGATCAGGAGTGTCGTAATGCTACTGATATGAAAAACGCAGCGTATAGGGCAACCCTGCGGACAGTAGCAACACGTAATGCGATGGAGAACTATCAGGAGAAAAAGAGAGAGGAGAAACGTATTTTCAGAAAAAAAGAAGAAAGAGCAAGAAAAACGTGAGCGTGAGCAAATCCAAATGTACAGGTGTCAGAATGAAGTCCGGATATTTTACCAACGGGTAAAACACCGAACCGAAGGTTTTGATGCAGGCAGATGAGATGAAGAAGGAAATCTGGTGACATATACAGACAGCGTGTTGAGAATCTGGAAGGAGCATTTCAAAAAACTTCTGGTATCAAATAATGGCGGTGAAGAAGAACCCCAGAACCAATAAGAGATGATGGTATAGAGTGTATACCACCTAGCCAAGATAAGGTCATAAAAGCAATTAATCGGCTCAAGAACAATAAAGCAGCAGGCAGGGGACGAACTATTCAAGACTGGTGGTCAGATCCTGGTAAGGAGGATGCACCATCTGATTAGTACAATTTGGCTAGAGGGATGCACGCCCAATGATTGGAACATCAGCATCCTGTGTTCCGTGCACAAAAAAGGAGACAAGACAATATGTGCCAAATATAGAGGAATAAGTCTCCTTCCCATCGCATATAAAGTGATATCCAGTGTGCTGTGTGAACGACTGAAGCCAATGGTCAATGGCATTATTGGACCATATCTGGCAAATCCACCATTGCGCCAAATCCTGGAAAAAACCCACGAAAAATACATCGACACATTCCATCTATTCGTCGACTATAAAGCCGCATTTGACAGCCCGCCCTATCCGTTTAGAGGTGTTTAAAGCCATGCCTGTGTTCGGCATTCCTGCAAAATTAATACGGCTATGCAGGATAACTTTAAGTGGCACAAGATCAGCAGTTAAAGTCGGAAAGGACCTCTCGGAGCCCTTTAACACCGAAGGAGGATTCAGACAAGGTGACAGTTTGTCATGTGACCTTTTTAACATCCTGCTGGAAAAGGTCATACGAGAGGCACAAGGGAACAGAAATTACACTCTGTACACCAAACAGCACATGTTACCCGCCTACGCCGATGACATCGACGTAATGGATCGAACACTGAGAGCGGTAACAGCCACATTTGAACAAATTGAGACGGAGTCTACCAAAGTGGGTCTGGCAGTAAACGGTGAGAAGATCAATCTGATGGTATCAACGCGCAAGACGTGGAACTTGAGAACTACAGCTTCGAGGTAGTCAAAGATTTTATATACCTTGGTACCGCCATAAACAGAACGTATGACATCAGTTTTGAAATTCGGAGAAGGATAGTGATGGCCAACCGATGCTACTATTGTCTGAGCAAACAACTTTCAAAAGCAAGGCCACCTCCCGCAAGACCAAACTCACACTCTACAAGACGCTGTTATACAGATCTGAAGCATGGGTATTTACGCAAGCAGATGAGGCAGCTCTTGAAGTGTTTGAGAGAACAATTCTCCGAAAGATCTATGGACCGATCTGGGTTGACCGTGAATATCGCCGTCGAATGAACCATGAGTTGTACCAGCTATTCTCGGACATCGACATTGTTAGACGTATTGAGCTGCAGCGACTACGTTGGCTAGGTCATGTTGTGAGAAGGGATGAAGTTGCTCCAGCCCAGAAGGCATATAAAAGCGAACCAGCTGATGATTCACGCAGTAGGGGAAGGCCGCGAATAAGATGGAAAGATCAAGTGGAAGGCAACATTGCCGAATATGGTCCTTCAGATTGGATAAATATAAAAATATTCTTTAGAAAATCCACGCCTTAGATGGACCCTTGAAAAAATATTCTTTAGAAAATCCACGCCTTAAATGGACCCTTGAAAAAAATATTCTTTAAAAAATCCAAGCTTGAAAAATATTCCTCAAAAAATCTACACCTCAGTTAATGTTTCGCAATAACCCACTGTGCGCAAATATTATGTTTTTATTTGATTTGATAAATGTGCGTCAAATTCAGTTTGGCTGTGATACACGCAGACTCACACCCTTTCCCAGAACCGCACACACAAACGCCAAAGACTCTTCTTAGAAAAACAATACCACGAAGAAACGCCAAGAAAACTACAACAACAGCACAAAACCACAAATAATTTCACACCAAAAAAAAGAGAAAGATGGAAATGACTTCAACCCACAGAAAAATCTCACCCAGCCCCAACAGCAGCATCAAACATCGAAACCTCTTTGCCTTCAGTTTATTCACAGTTTAACCTTTCTATCGTTACAGTCTCTGAATCAAAACGGCATTCATACATCATCGGCGGCAACGACACCAACGACAACTCCATCATCAGCATCATCATCGGCAGCTGCAGCCACAACTCATACACGTCCATTAACCTTGGCCACGAGACAGGGATCAACAACGAACATAACTTCATCGTCGACGTCGTCAATAGGACCAGGAGGAGGAATACCGGTAAAAACACCCAGATCTCCAAGACCTCCAGTATATACGGGAACCCACGTTGTCCAGCATTCGCATCATCAAGAAACCCAGACTAGCAGCAAATTATCGGCCGGTGTTGGAGGTCTTAAGCCCACACCCAAGACACCGCCTGTGACCCCCGATTCACCCACAACCTATCTGGATGATGATTTAGATTCTTTGTATTCCTATACCACAACATCGGGTCGTTCGACAATGTCCTGTGAGCATCCCTATGTGGCCAGGTGAGTGAACAATCGATTTTTATTTATTTTTCTCTCTTTAATAACTCTCTCTTCCTTCCCCTCTCTCCCCCTCACAGAAATGGCACCACATTCAGTGGTCGTAAAATGAAATATGTGGTTCATTGTTCCAATTATGCCGGCCAGGTGGGTGCCGATTATCTCACACCCACCCAACGGGCCCAGCGCCAGATAAGACGACTCAAAGAACTGCTCTGCGCTGCTCGCCAGGATTTGGAACAAAAAGATTCCGAACTATTGCGGCTAACCCGCGAGGTTGTGGAATTACGTCTCTTCAAAGCATCCCTCTCATCGCCCGATGAACGTTCCGCCTCCAGCGATGCGGTCACTGTACGCGAAGCAGAACTGAAAACATCTCAAGACGTCTCACCCATTGTCGATATGGTGGATGATGGTCAGAAACAACATGCCTCACCATCACGTCACATGCATCATTCGCATATGGGCCATGCTGCGTCCGCCTCACCAACCATTATGACACATGCGTCACAAAGTTCCACATCCTCGCAGCAGCATCATCACCACAGCCACCATCATCATCACGATATGCAATCATCGTTTGCCGATTCCGGTCACTTTGAGGATATGACCTCATCATCGGTTCATTCCAAAGATTCCTCGTACGCACCCTCCACCCATGGCCACCACAGTGGCCATCATCATCATGAGGGTGCCTGTGGCGGTGGAGGCAGTGATGCCGATCATCATCATCACCATGGTGAGCCCTCAGCCTCCACTATCGAACAATATGAATTACAGCGTCAGGAATTGATTCGTCTGTACGAGCAGCGTATTGAGGATTTAATTCGCAGTCAGGATGCTGCCGCTGCGGAAGTTAAGCGTTCCAACAATGATCGCATTGAGGCATTGCTGCAAAAGTTGGCCGAGTGTAATACCCGGTATGCTGACATAGTACCCGATTACGAACATGCCAAGGAGCGTATTCGTGAATTGGAAAAACAGCTGGAAGATCTCCAGAGGAAGCTGGCCGAACATGAGGAGAAACAGAAGCAAATGTATTTGCATATGTATCAGAAGGGCCAGGAAGCGGAGCGTATTGCTCGCGCTGATCAGGTAAATATTCCCTATAGATGTAAGGTATTCAAGGGACCATTGAAAGCCTCCTATGTAGAAGGGTGTTCTGCCTATAGAATACCTCTTCAGGGTATTTCTTGATAGTCCCTGAAAAATAATTTTTAAAAAATCTACGCCTGTTTATAGTCCCTGAAAAATAATTTTTAAAAAAATCTACTCCTGTTTATAGTCCCTGAAAAATAATTTTTAAAAAATCCACGCCTATTGAGAGTCCCTGAAAGATTTTCAGGTGCGTCGGTCTTTTGCGCAGTTTTTCCAATTTGAAAGACCATATTCGTCAAAGTTGTCATCCACTTGATCTTTCCATCTTCTTCGTGGCCTTCCCCTTCTACGTGAACCATCAGCTGGTTCGCTTTTATATGCCTTCTGGGCTGGGGCATCTTCATCCATTCTCACAACATGACCTAGCCAACGTAGTCGCTGCAGCTCAATACGTCTAACAATGTCGATCTCCGAGAAAAGCTGGTACAACTCATGGTTCATTCGACGGCGATATTCACCGTCAACGCAGATCGGCCCATAGATCTTTCGGAGAATTTTTCTCTCAAACACTCCAAGAGCTGTTTCATCTGCTTGTGCAAGTACCCATACTTCAGATCCATATAACATCACGGGTAGAATGTCTTGTAGAGTGCGAGATTGGTCTGCCGAGAGGTGCCTTGCTTTTAGGTTGCTTACTCAGACTATAGTAGCATCTGTTGGCCAAAACAATTCTCCTCCGAATTTCAATGCTAATGTTATTAGTTTGGTTTATGGCATTACCAAGGTATATAAAATCGTTCACCACATCGAAGCTTTAAGTTTCAAGTTCCACAGTTGGTCCAAGTCTACTGGACGTCTTGCGCGTTGATACCCTCAGCTTGGTCTTTTCGCCATTTACTGCCAGTTCCACTTTGGCAGACTACTTCTCAATTTGTTCAAAGGTGGCTGTTACCGCTCTCAATGTTCGACCCATTATGTAGATGTCATTGGCGTAGGCCTGTAACATGTGTTGTTTGGTGTACAGAGTGACATTTCTGTTCACTTTTGCCTGTCGTATGACCTTTTCAAAAAGAATGTTAAAAAGGTCACACGACAGACTGTCACCTTGTCTGAATCCTCGGTCGGTATTAAAGGGCTCCGAGAAGTCCTTTCCGACTTTAACTGCTGATCTTGTGCCTGTTAAAGTTAACCTGCATAGCCGAATTAATTTTGCAGGAATTCCAAACGCAGACATGGCTTTATACACCTCTGAACGGATAGGGCTATCGACTATGCGACTTCTTAGTCGACGAATAGATGGAATGTGTCGATGTGTTTTTCGTGGATTTGGCACAGAGTGAAAATCTGGTCAATGGTGGATATGCCAGGTCTGAAGCCGCATTGTTATGGTCGAATAATGTGATTGACCATTGGCTTCAGTCGTTCACACAGTACGCTGGATAGCACTTTATATGCGATGGGATGGAGACTTATTCCTCTATAGTTGGCACATATCGTCTTGTCTCCTTTTTTGTGCACGGGACACAGGATGCTGATGTTCCAATCATTGGGCATGCTTTCCTCTAGCCAAATTGTACTAATCAGCTGGTGCATGCTCCTTACCAGCATCTGACCAGTCTTGAATATTTCGGCTTGTAACCCATCGGCACCTGCTGCTTTAGTATTCTTCAGCCGATTGATTGCTATTCTGACTTCATCTTGGCTAGGTGGTGTACACTCTATACCGTCATCTATTATTGGTTCTGGGATATCCTCTTCACTGCTACTATTTCATACCAGAAGTTTTTCAAAATGCTCCTTCCAGATCCTCAGCACGCTGTCTGTATCTGTCACCAGGTTTCCTTCTTCATCTCTACAGGAGGATGTGTCTGCGCCAAAGCCTTCGGTTTGGTGTTTTACTCGTTGGTAAAATTTCCGAACTTCATTCTGACTCCTGTCCATTTCGATTTGCTCACGCTCACGTTTTTCTTGTTCTTTCTTCTTTTTTCTGAAACTACGTTTCTCCTCTCTCCTTTTCTCCCGATGATTCTCCATCGCATTACGTGTTGCTACTGTGCGCAGGGTTGCCCTATACGCTGCGTTTTTCATATCAGTAGCATAACGACACTCGTGATCGTACCACGGATTTCTTGATGGTGTTCTTTGGTACCCAAGTGTGGGTTTTGCTGCAGTTTGTAGGACGTGGGCAATTCTCTGCCACTGTGCTTCTATATTATTATCGGGACAAGGGGTGCTCTCGTCAAGAAGTTGGTTAAGTTGAGCGGAGTAGGCTTCTGCTACCTGTTGTGTTTGCAGCTTTTCGGCGTCAAATTTCCGTGTTACATTAAATCGCACCTGTTGATAGTCCCTGAAAAAATGTTTTTAAATTATCTACGCCTGTTGATAGTCCCTGAAAAGATTTTTTAAGCCAAGCCCATATTTTTATCTGTTTATTTATTCTTTTTTTCTCTCTTTCCAGGCTTTAGAATTGGCACATCGAGCACCCCAGAACAAGGTGTCCATTAACGAGCTGCTGCACCAACTGCAATCCACCCAGGACGAATTGGAGAACATACGTGTAAGATTTTTCAAAATCTTTATCATATTCTTTTCGATATTATTTTGCATATTGCATTTTGTTTGCGTTGTGTCTTGAGGAAAAATCATTGCAAAGAAACATAACCACAAATATCATAGATAATTATCATAAAAAAAAAAGAAAATCCTAAGAGAATGAAACAAATCTCTTTATTTTTTCTATCACACACCCACACTCACAAACTCTTTCCATAAAACAAAAAAACTCTCCATAACTGTCTAACAGTAATTGTTTTGATCTCACACACATTTTCTCGTAACTGTTTCTCCGTCTCTCTCACTCTCCAAAAAAAACTCATCACAGATTCATAACAAACGAACAAAATTGTTATCGATTCTTTTATCATTTTGCTCTCGTTAAATTTGTCATGCAAACTCTCTCTCTTTGTCTGTCTCTCACTCTCTCTTATGTCCATCTCTAAATGTGTTGATCTCATTTGTATTTGTCTCTTGGCTTTTTTTACGATAACATTTGAGGATAATTTCTCACATTATTTTTTGTAATTGTGTTCTCTTTAAAAAAATACAAATACACTACTCTCTTGCACTAACACTCACACAAAATTGTCACAGTGACTCTTTAGTTTCTTCTTCCGTTAATTTTAAATTCGAATTGGAAATAATTATATATTTATTTTAAATTACATTTTAATTTGCTTTTCGATGAAAATGTGATCCATTTGGCAAAAGCAAAATTTAATAATGTTTATTTAGGATTGTGTTAATTTAATTTTTTTAATTTATATAAATAAATTTTGTAACAAAATTCGATTGCAAACATTTTATTTTATAAAAAAAATTAATTAGAAAACAAAATCATTGTTAATTTAAAAAGATCCTACATCATTACATAAAAAACCTTTTTTTTAATAATTTTTAAAAAATCCACGTCTGTCGATAGTTCCTGAAAAATACTTTTTAAAAAATCCACGTCTGTTAATTAATTACTTACTTAGCTGGCTTGTGACAGAACTTTCGTTCCATATGCCGAGCTTAAAAAGATTTCCAGGCGCGTCGGTCTTTTGCGCAGTTTTTCCAATTTGAAAGACCATATTCGGCAATGTTGTCTTCCACTTGATCTTTCCATCTTATTCGGCCTTCCCCTACTGCGTGAACCATCAGCTGGTTTGCTTTTATATGGCTGGGGCATCTTCATCCATTCTCACAACATGAACTATACAACGTAGTCGCAGCAGCTCAATACGTCTAACGCAGATCGGCCCATAGATCTTTCGGAGAATTTTTCTCTCAAACACTCCAAGAGCTGCCTCATCTGCTTGCGCAAGTACCCAGATCCATATAACAACACGGGTAGTATCAGCGTCTTGTAAAGTGTGAGTTTGGTCTGGCGGGATGTGGTCTTGCTTCTAAACTGCTTACTTAGACCATAGTAGCACCGGTTGGACATCACTATCATTCTCCGAATTTCAAAACGGATGTCATTCGTTTTGTTTATGGCGGTAGCAAGGTATATAAAATCTTTAACTACCTCGAAGCTGTAGTTCTCAAGTTCTACAGTTGGTCCGAGTCTACTGGACGTCTTGCGCGAGTCTACTGCTTGGTCTTCTAGCCGTTTACTACCAGCCCCACTCCTTCTCAATTTGTTCAAAGGTCTTAGTGTTCAACCCATTATATCGATGTCATCGGCGTAGGCGAGTAACATGTGTTGTTTGGTGTACAGAGTGTAATTTCTGTTCACTTTCGCCCCTCAAATGACCTTTTCCAGCAGGATGTTAAAAAGGTCACACGACAAACTGTCACCTTGTCTGAATCCTCGTTCGGTATTAAAGGGCTCCGAGAGGTCCTTTTCGACTTTAACTGCTGATCTTGTGCCAGTTAAAGTTATCCTGTATAGCCGAATTAATTTTGCAGGAATGCCAAACGCAGACATGGCTTTATACACCTCTGAACGGATAGGACTGTCGATGGGGTTTTTGTGGGGTTTTTTCCAGGATTTGGCGCAGAGTGAAAATCTGGTCAATGGTGGTTTTGCCAGGTCTGAAGCCACATTGGTATGGTCCAAAAATGTCATTGGCCATTGGCTTCAGTCGTTCACACAGCACACTGGATAGCACTTTATATGCGATGGGAAGGAGACTTATTCCTCTATAGTTGGCACATATCGTCTTGTCTCCTTTTTTGTGCACGGGACACAGGATGCTGAGGTTCCAATCATTGGATATGCATTCTTCTAGCCAAATTGTACTGGTGAATGCTCCTTACCAACATCTGACCACCAGTCTTGAATAGTTCGGCTGGTAACCCATCGGCTCCTGCTGCTTTATTATTCTTCAGCCGATTGATTGCTATTCTGACTTCATGTTGACCTCATCGTGATATACACTCTATACCGTCATCTCTGATTGGTTCTGGAGTATCTTCTTCACCGCTTCTATAAGATACCAGAAGTTTTTCAAAATGATCCTTCCAGATCCTCAGCACGCTGTCTGTATCTGTCATCAGGTTTCCTTCTTCATCTCTACAGGAGGATGTGCCTGCACCAAAGCCTTCGGATTGGTGTTTTACCCGTTGGTAAAATTTTCGGACTTCATTCTGACTACTGTACATCTTTATTTACTCACGCTCACGTATTTCTTGTTTTTTTTTCTGAAAATACGTATCTCCTCTCTCCTTTTTTCCCGATAATTCTCCATCACATTACGTGTTGCTACTGTCTGCAGGGTTGCCCTATACGCTGCGTTTTTCATATGGGACCAAAGATATTTTCCCTTCCGAGTTTTGCATTAAAATCTCCTAGCAGAATTTTAATGTCATGGCCAGGGCAGCGGTCTTTCTAGGCGCTGATCTACTAGAGTGAATCTGGAGACGAGGTCTTTTATTCTCCTGTTAACCATAAATCCGCAGCCAAATTCATGGCTCGTTTCATGACAGCTATAATACAGGGAGTAATCTTCTGATTTACTTACCATCGCATATCCTTTAAGGCAATAATATTGGCTTTGTACTTCTTGAGTACATCCGCCAAAGCGAACACTGCGCCTGTTCTGTACAACGTGCGCACATTCCATGTGCAGATTCGCCGATCGTGGTCCTTTATACGTTTGCGGGGGTCGTCAACATTAGATGGGTTTGGTTTTCTTTTTCTTTGCTTTTCGTTTTCCGAGTGTGGGCAACTATCCCGACGCCTCAACCCACTTTTTTTAAAGTTCTTATAGGTGTACTCGAGGTACATATCAGCTCACTATTTCATAGGGTGATGAAAATAGGCACCACGGAGAGGTCAGTGTCCACAATTGAGATGAAAGAGGGACAAGATAAGCCTGGACTTCGCCATGTTGAAGCCAATCAGAGCCGTTGCTTGGTATCTATCATCCCCTACGCCACCCCCACGTCTGTTGATAGTCCCTGAAAAATAATTTTTAAAAAATTCACGCCTGTTGATAGTCCCTGAAAAAAAAAATTTTAAAAAATCCACGCCTGTTGATAGTCCCTGTTGTTGGACTCTTGAAAAAATTATTTTAAAATATCCACCCCTTGGTTAGTTCTGGAAAAATAATTTTTTAAAAATCCACGCCTTTACTGGACCCTTGAACAAAATATTTTTTAAAAATCCTGGCCTTGTTGCAAAAGGGCCTTTTTAGGCCCTTGGAATTTTATTGAAAAATTATTTAGTATTGAAATGTAATGATGTAGGGTATTTTATTTGTCGGCTATCCCGACTATATATTTCCATTATTTATTTTATTTTTTGTTTCCAAAAAAGGCATCCTTTTTATTTTTGTTTTCTTTTGGAATGTTTTAGAAAGAGAAACAAGTAGTTTTTTTGTAATGGGTTAAGAGTGCGGTTTCAAAACCTAACCTAGAAAACACCATAACCGTAGTTGTTTTTTAAAACAAAAAATTAACATTCAAAATAAATATTTAGGAGGGCATGGTTTGAGTTCTTTTGCTATCAAATAAAAATTATTAATCAACATTAACATTTGCAAAAAAACTTCTGTTCTGCATGTCCTTTTTTAAAGTAGTTGTAGAGCCTTCTTACTTTTTTTCATTTCAAGTTCAACACAAATAAAAAATTCCTCCCCTCAAAGAAAAAAAACAAAGAATTTTTAATTTTGCTGCTCTCTATTAAAAAGCCTTTTAAAAAATCAGTTCTTACTTGAAAATTTATTTATTTTTTTAAATGTGTCAAATTTTAATTTTATTTAATTCACTATAATTTATCAAAAAAATAATTAACAAGAAAATAATAAGTAAACAAAGTTTTTTAAAATACAAAAAAAAAATACCAATTACAAATCCCCCCAAAATATTATTTATAGGCAGCAGAATGTAGAAATGAATGCGGCAGTAATCATGCTCTCCTTACTGCAAAAGAGGCTATTTCTTTGTGGGTTCTCGGCGCGCGTAAGGTTTGTAAACGTAATTTTTCAAAAATTATAGTTTTGAAACACTTGATTTTGTATTTTTTTTTTTAATTTAATTTTTTTCTTGGGTTTGAGTTTAAAATTTTTAATATTTATTTTTTTATTTTCATTTAAGAAATAAAAATCAACCATCTCACTAATATTTTTTTTTTTCATATTGGGTTTTAAGTGCGGTTTATCATTTTCCCATTTTTTGTTTTGGTTGTACGCGGTGTTGTGATGTCATTTTGATGGGTTTTCATTATTTTCATTCTGATTTATTTTTTTTTTGTCTGTTTAACATCATTTATATAAAAAAAAAATTTGTAAAATTTCATCACCTAACTTCGTCCATTTCTAACCATAAACGATAACATGTTATTGATGTGGTATGAAGAGGAGGAAATATTATCCTAAGTGTTTGGTGTGGCCTTTATAAAATAATCTCAACATTTTGATATATAAAAAAGAATTGAAAAGGTATTTAGGTTATAGATATTTATATCCAACCTCATTGAGAATTGTAACAGCTGAATGAAATTAACCAGCATTCGTTAGGACATTAAGTGTCAACAATTAGTGCACACATGTAGGGTTATTGTATTATATAAAATTATAGGACATTATCTTGTAATATGTATGGGATGCATTTAATTCGAATCATTAAAAATATTTTTCAATCCAGTAGAATTAAAATTTTTAAAATATGACGAATGTAACCACGAAATTTGCCATGAACGATACCTACAATAATTGATGTTTTCCCTGGTACCTCCTATGACATATTCATTATATTGGAACTAATTACTGCCTGCCTAATAATTAAGGTCTTTTTATACCCTTCACCACACTGTGGTACAGGGTATTATGTCTTTGTGCATATGTTTGTAACAGGCAAAAGGAATCGAGATAGACACATGGTTCCTTTTGAGAATATGCATAGAATCACTTTCTGAGTCGATTTATGCATGTCCGTCCGTCCGTCTGTTGATGTTAAATTGTAAACTAAGTACAGGTCGCATTTATAATCCGATTTGGCTGAAATTTGGCACAGCTCATTTATTTGGCCCAAGGACGAACCCTATTGAAATTGGGAAAAATCGGTTCAGATTTAGATATAGCTCCCATATATATTTTTGTCCGATTTACGGACTTTAGTCCCTCAAAATCATTCGATTTGCACGAATTTCGGTACAGCGTACTGAATTAAGTCTAAAATGATGTGTGCCAAGTTTCGAGAAAATCGGATCAGGTTTAGATATAGCTCCCATATATAGTTTCGTCCGATTTAAGGTAAATGGGGCACCAAAGTCCCTCTATATCTTTCGATTTGCATGAAATTTGGCACAGAGTACTGAATTAGGTCCAGAATGATGTGTGCCAAGTTTCGAGAAAATCGGTTCAGATTTAGATATAGCTCCCATATATAGTTTCCTCCGATTTAAGGAAAATGGTGCACCAAAGTCCCTATATATCTTCCGATTTGCATGAAATTTGGCACAGAGTACTAAATGAGGTCCAGAATGATGTGTGCCAAGTTTCGAGAAAATCGGTTCAGATTTAGATATAGCTCCCATATATAGTTTCGTCCGATTTAAGGTAAATGGGGCACCAAAGTCCCTCTATATCTTTCGATTTGCATGAAATTTGCACAGAGTACTGAATTAGGTCCAGAATGATGTGTGCCAAGTTTCGAGAAAATCGGTTCAGATTTAGATATAGCTCCCATATATAGTTTCCTCCGATTTAAGGTAAATGGTGCACCAAAGTCCCTATATATCTTTCGATTTGCATGAAATTTGGCACAGAGTACTGAATGAGGTCCAAAATGATGTGTGCCAAGTTTCGAGATAATCGGTCAAGATTTAGATATAGCTCCCATATATATTTTCGTCTGATTTAATGTAAATGGTGTCGTCCGATTTTACAAAAATTGACACAAACCTTTCACAACGTACTGTAGTGAGAATAACCTAGAAGTTGGTTTTAAATGCTTTACCATTGTGAGTCCAATAGGCACACCAATTTGCTCTACGTACGAAGTTACTATAACATAACGTGTGGCAAGTTTAGTTCAAATCGGATTAAATTTTGACATATATATATATATATGTTAAATTTATAAGCGTATATATATATACGCTTATAATTGACTTTCATAATTTTGTTTCATCTGTTGGATATACCGAAAGTGGTGAAGGGTATCATATAGTCGGCCCCGTCCGACTTTACTGCTTTCCTTACTGGTTTTTATTATGAACTAGTTCTTCTTGCTAGTGACAGTCCTCACAGATTCGTTGTGGCGGTCTAGTTCAACATAACGACTCTGTTAAATGAATGATCGGAACAAGATCCTTGTTCAACCGCTCATATAGTTCACGACGCCCAATGAAATATATTTAGTTATTTCACATTTCTGGTAGAATTTGTTATTGAAAGATTGAAATGGAAATTATTTAATCGATATTTTAGAATACTTAAGAATATGCCTACAATTCCACAGTTTCAGTATCCGAATTGTCACAATCACTCGAACTAAAAAGATTCACTGAACAAGGAGAAAGAATAGAGATTTGTTATAAAATCCGTATACAATAATACATGGACAACGAATCTATGTGGTATTTAATGGTAATTAGCTCCTGATGAGCAACAGCAACAGAGAGATTATTCAACACTGTCATTCAATAGAGCGATTCACTAGAATGAACAAATGATCTAGTTATAATAATAAATGAACCAACCGACAATTGGATCGTTACGGAAGGAACTAGGGACTATTCCGAAAAGGGATCGATACTTCCTCGATAACCCAGTCACATTTGAGCCAATCGTTCATTGACGGAATTACTTGAGTGTACCAATAAACCAGAATAAGTGTCCTAGCTACATTTGCGGAGTGAACTAGAAGATATTGAACCCTTTACTCCAATATTCTTTAATGTATTAGAATAAATTCAATTGAACGAACGATAGATACATATGTACTAGTTCCTTTTTAGAAATGAACCATGAACGACCGATTCGTTCAGTGGACGATAACTACTATAAACTACTAGGGTAGTTCATGAAAGAATTAATGTTCCAATGTAAAGAACATGCGGGTTAGTTTATCTAAAAGTGAACCACTTGACAAAAAGTTGTCAAATATAGTACTAGTTCTCAAACTTGACAAATAATACTAATAATAAGTTATAATACCACTTATAACGTATAGTTCAGTTAGATACCCAAATAAAATATTGTTAGTAATATTTTAATTACGATTTTTTGCTGAATTACATTAAACTAATTCAATTAAAACATTCACATTTCAACTTGAGTTTTGAAATGTTTTAGATTTGTTAACGATACGTGTATTTTTTGACGACATCGAACTGGGTGGCATACTGGTTTATGCTGCTTTTGATTTGACGATTTTTTTCAATTCGAAATTGTTTAGAATTGCTAGCATAGTCTATAGAATAGTATAATGCTTTTATTTTAAGGAATTTCAATGTGTTCAGTAGGCATTCGCTAGCATTTTAAATAACTAAAAAAGCGCTCGTCTAACGCTGAGTATTTACGGATAATAAATAATATTACTACCTCAGATTACAATTATAGGCACGGTAGTTAAAGACGCCTTTGGTACTTAAAGAATTGATGCATCTGCAAAAAAAGAATTCAACATAGTAGAACGCCTTTAAAAGTGGACTAACAATTTTAAATATAGAGTTTTTGTTTTTTTATGCCTTTTTAAGGCGAAGATCATTCATGTAAATGTTTTTTATTAATTTATCTTTCGAGATGAGCTACATGATCGGAGTTGCAATGAAAAGGAAAGCCGGACACCAACAGATGCCATGCCCTGGTTCCCATGGCATCTGTTGGTGTCCGGCGCCTTAGCGTTATCTTCCTAAGGTTGCAAAATATGCAGTTGCATACCATTGAAGAAAAATATTGTAGTCTGTATGGAAAAAAAGTCCGTCACTACAAGAAAAATCTGCTCTGAAAAGGAATGTTCTGGTGTGATGCCAAATGTCCGAACCTTGACACGGTTGAATTTAATTCGTAGATGTAATTTCGCAACAATAGTCGACATAAATACAACTTATCAAGTAAACACATTTGTAAGCCACATTGCCCAATATGCCTGATGAGCCGCTTAACCAACGGCGAAACGCGTCGCATAGTGGTGGGAATGTAGTATCTCTCTGGCTTTCCTTTTCATTGCAACTCCGATCATGTAGCTTATCTCAAAAGAGAAATTAATAAAAAAATTTGTAAATATTGTTAGTTCACTCACTGGGTCGGAGTTGTTTGTAGAGATGTCCAATTTCGTTCCTGATATTTCCACATAAGGAACTAGGTCATGCTTCATTTGTATACGCCAGTTCATCCGGTCAATGAACGGGAAGACCAATATGTACGTACCTGGTGCGGTATAGTTCCATTGAACTGGTTCATTCCTGAATAACACAAATGCATCAGTTTGGCGTAAAATATTTTTTGGAAGAAAATTTGAATTTAGTTGATAAACGGAATTATAATAAACTACAAAGACTGAAGAATGTTCATTTCAGTAAATCGCCCAATCAAAATATTATTGAACTAAAAGCTATGTATAAAATATCAGCAGGAAATTATTTCATTAACTCAATGAACAATATTCATTTACATTTCGGCAATAAAAACTAGGACTTTTTACCGGCTTAATCTACTTTATGTTATAAATACAATGCAATTGACAATTTAAACCCACTGGGTTACAATGTAAACGTACTATTTTTAATTAATTACAACTTTTATTTATTTATTGTAATTACATATTTTGTTCTAAAACGACGTTTACATTAGAACTTTTCACCGGGTTAATCTACTTTATGAAGATTTATTTGGCATATATTCAAAGGAACTGCCACTGGGTTAACGAAATCCAGTTAAATGTAAACGTACTATTAATTGGTTGGAAAAAACAATATCTATATAATATCTTTGTACGGATATCATTCAATTTTCGTCATATTGTATACAGTTGTGTGGTTTCGAAAAGAACTATTCCCCAAAAGGAATGATTGGTATTAGGTCAGTTTTTTCGTTCACCTAGTTCATTTTGCTTCAATCGTTCATTTAGTTTCACCAGCCCTATAGTTCCATATGTTCAAGTATTATTACTTGTCTTCCTCTTTTAAGAGCGAGAAATTAGTCAATAGGAACAATTTAACAAGGAATTTTATTTTTCAACAAAGTATTGTTAAATTCCACAACGTAATTAAAATAGGTTGTCCGGCCGACTTTAAACTTCAGAATTGAACTATGAAACTAAATGAATGAGTTGGTTTATTTTGAGGAACGAACAGAAAAGTATTGTAGTTTTAGTCCTATTTTTTTGATATTTGCACCCTCTTTTCCGATTAGAGTTCAACATTTGCTTACAATGACATATTTTCCGAATATTACTAATATTCAGTACAGACGTACCTCTAATTACTTGTCCAGATTCCCTTCACCGTGTGTGGTGTTGTGATGTTCGGTTTACAATTGTGGCCTATAGATCGTCTCGAAAAAAAAAAAACAAACAAAAAAGTTTTCGCTCCACTTCATCCCGAATTGTTATCTGATCATTACCGAAAATTGTAGGCGTTGTCCTTGGCCATAACTGCAACCTCATGGGACATTTCAAAGCGATCAGTGCTATATTTCCGCCCTCTAGTGTGGTTATCAGTTACTAAATAATATCTGAATACATAAGCACCTGTAAATATTTACGTGGAACTCCCACATCCGAGTACATACCACAATATAATTGGTATAAATTTAAAGGCCAACCACTCCTCTTGGATACACTATCAACTTCCCGGCTCTATGTCCTTCAGGAGTAAATATATATGCCATAGAATACAAATTTTGTAATTTTTCACACAAAAGTCAGGGTGCATTTGACCCACTAGATATTGACCGATCTTTATCAAAACAGGTATGCGTATTCTTTGGCACAATCCCCTTTTCCATGTAAAAATTCGAGATGTTTGGGCCATAATTGCGGCCTCTGGAGCGACCAGAAAAACCGACAAAAATTAAGTATTTGGTCCATTTCATCTCCTAAATATTATCCGATCTTTACCATCCTACATGCAAAATTTCGTGAAGATTGGTCCATATCTGTGGCCTGTATCGTGTTTACAAAATATGATGGACAGACGGACGGACGGACACACATGTCTAGATCGACTCAGCTAGTCGAGATATGACGATCGGTATACTTAAAGGTGGGTCTAGGACCAATATTTCGCGGCGTTACAAACACTTGGGGCTGCACAAAGCTATAATACCCTGACAACATAGTTGTGTAGGGTATAAAAATTATTCTATACCCCAGCTCCAGATTTCAGATGCGATCTTTTAAAAAAATATACATACTCTACATGTGTGCTAAAATTTGAAAGAAATGTATGGGGGGAATTAGGTCAAAAGAAAACAGTTAATTTTTTAAATATAAAAATTATTCATATTAATGGTTTTATTATTTCAAAAAATGTTTATATGAGATTTTTGTGACAACAATTAGTTAAAATTTAATATACCAGATTTTTCTGAGATTAAAAAAAAATCACTTTGGGTATATTTTTTATAAAAGATTAATTTTTAGGAATTTCTATAAATTGTAAATTTAATTAATTTTTTCTTCTTGAGTTTTCAGTGATTTTTTTTTAAAGAAAAAATTAACAATAAAATACTAATTTCCAATATGTTTCCATTATTGTATACAATTGTTCTGTACGATATATTTTCTTCTATTTTCTAACTTCTCATTTTTTTCCACAAAATTAAAAAATGAAATAAAACTTAAGAATTTTTTAAAACTTAATATTGTTGTGTAAATGTTCTATAAGTACTACAACTATATATTTTATTTGTGTATAAAAATAAATATATATATATATAGTAAAATGTCATACACAACCAGAGATGTGAAAGGTATGTAAAAGAAGACATAACAACAACAATAACAACAAAAAGAATATATTAAAGAAATACCTACACACAACAACAACAGAATACAGAACAATAATTATTTCAGAAATATAAATATACAATATTTATTTAGGATTTTTTCTATATATAAATAAAGTTGTAAAATGTGTAATTTGTTTTTTTTTTAAGTAAGACAATATTTAAAAATGTATAAAAAAGGAATCTCAACACATTAGATGTTATTTTTTATAATTTTTACATTATAATTTAGCATGTCTATTTTTTAAAGACAAAAATAATATTTAAAAAATTAAAAATAAAAAAAAATATTATTTATATTTAATGTATTAAATTAAGAAGATTAAATATATATAAATATTTATATTAATATTATATACATCTATATATACAATCTGACTCATTCATATATATATATATATAAATGAAAAACATGATATTTATATAAAAACAAAAAAAATATTTTAAATTTTATTCGAAGTAATAAATGTTGAAAACTTGTAGGTTAACTTGGTTGGTTTCATTCTAACATTTCATTAAAAGTTTTTTATTTAAAATAATTAATAATTATTTTTATTTTAAATTTTACAGCAGCAATCCATAACATTTAAGCACCATTGTTTTGGTTTTTGTAATCATTTTTCCCCATTTCATTTATATGTGAAATATTTTTTTAATAATTAAAAAAAAATCACTTCCCATTAAAAATAATAAAGTTTTCAAATCCGCTCCATGACAACCATCCATCAACCCATAATGTATGTAAATAAATTCCATTTGTTGTTTTTTTATTAACTTGGGTATTTTGTTTTATGTTTGGTTTAATTTGTATAAGTTATTAAAAAATATATAATTTTTATTTTGTAACCTAGAATTAGAAAACCCCATCCTTTGAAATATATTTTAAATAAAAATTCTAAAAAAACAACAACTTATTGCTATTTGAAATACATGTTTTTTAAAAAATATATACCTTTATTTTCCCCCCAACAATTTTTTTCTCTTTTTCTCTCTCTTTCCTCTCTCTCTTCCTTTTTTTCCACAAACAATTTTTTGTAACCTTCCGCTCCACCTAAAACCCCGAAAAAACAGACCATTTATCGCCGCCTATTGGAAGCTCAAAAGAATCGCACCCATGTGGATCCCGAGGTCACCCTGCAGTTCCTCAAGAGTGCCGTCTATTATTTCCTGACGGACAAGGAAAACTCCCAGGGCCATTTGCAGGCCATTGAATCCATATTGGAATTCAGCGAAGCCGAGAAACAGGTCATCAGCAAGGCCCGCTCAGCGAAATAGAAACAAAAATGTGTGAAATGCAAAATACAACAACAACAAAAAGGGAATCTAAAAACAACAACAAAAAACTAGTTAAAAAATACAATGAGGCTTCTAAGAAAATTAAAAAAAATACAAAAAATATATTGTAATGATTTTAAGAGCCCCCCTCGCGCCTCTCTCCCACAACATTTTATATAGTTAATGTTATATAAAAAATAATAAATAAATAACAAAACAATATTTAAAATTATTATCACCAAATACCAGTTGAAGTTATTGTTATTTAAAAAATATAAAAACATAATTGGTTGTATTTTTTTATTTATGTTCCACCCTTTTGCACTTTTTGTTTCCTATTTTTATGTGTGTAATTTTTGTTATAGCCCTCTTATGTAAGCAGAGTTTATGTTTATATGTTATGTTATATATCATTTCTATTGTATATTTTTTTAAAACAATTTTAATTTTTTTAATTTTATTTTGTATAGAAATATATTTTTTAAAAAATTAAAATTGTAACGAATTTTGTTTATGTGTGTCCTTTTATTTTATATTTATATTTTATGTTGTATTTAATTTTAAATTAAAAATAAATAAATATTTATTATAATAAATTGCAATGGTGTTTTAAATATAATGATCAAAAGTAAACAAATTTTGAAGAGTTGAAAAATTAAAATATAAAAAAATAATAATAAAAGGTAAACATATTTTATATATTTAAGAAAATATTAATTTCAATTATATTCAAGAAAAACTATTTATATTTCCATATGAAATAATAAATATAGAAAATAGATATTGAGCATAAACTATAATTATATAATATAATTTTCTATATAATTTTCGAAAATCCAATCAACTAATTTATCGATAACTAAATTAACTCTCTGACAACTTAAAAATTCGAATCCAAGGAATTCGAGCGATTTACTACATAACTCCTGTGTTTTGAAAAAAAAAAAAAGAAAATTGCTCATTAGTTATTATTTTCATTTAGTATTCATACATTCTGACTAAGACTTTAAGGCCAAATTCGGCATCATTTTAAATACAATTGTTTATATTCTAAATTCATATTAAGTAACAATTTAAAAAAAATATATATTTCAAATTTAACATGGTGGGTGCCTTGTTTGCAGAATGCGCAAAAATTCTCTCGCCAATGATTCAAAATACGTTATTTTCGTTTTGGGTTAATTTTGCGAATGAATTTATCGCGATAAATTCTTTACCAAACGAGCATTCGCCAAACGAATGTTAGCACACACATAGCAAATGGGCGGGAGTACACAATAACGATCGTTCGTTTCGTTTGGTGGTTGAAATTCTTTCTGACATTCGCGAGAATTCTCAAAACAGCAACAAGAATAACAACAAACGTTCGTGAACTCAATAGTTGTTTCTGCTACACACACATACATTCGCTTTTTTATGATATTTTCGTTTGTTGTTATTTTAAACAGCGCTCGCGAGCATTTGCGAACATAATGATCTTCAGCAAAAAATGCTCGCGAAAAAACGAATCGACGACGCCTACAGCAAAATTTTATCCTTCGTGAATTTTTCGTAAAATTCAAACATTCGCGAGAGATTGCATTGTAACTTTATCATTCGCGATAAAATGAAAACATTCGATTTCTCGCCGTGAGCATTCGTGAGAAAGAGCGTATTTTAATCATTCTGCACACCCTGCTTGTTTGTATCTATCTATGATATAGATTCTATACCACTGTTCACCAAACAGGCGCCCGTGGGCGCTTTGGGAGAGTACCAAAATTTTTGTGTTCGAAAATGCGTTAGTTTTGCATGTGTTAACATAGAGAGAAAAAATTACTCTCCCAGAACAACACAATCATAGCAGTTTGCATATGTATTGTTGGCTAACCCTGAACAAAATTTTTGTAAATTTTTGTGGTCGGAAAAAATTGTTGATGAATCTAATTCTTGTTATTATATAAATTAAAAACCATTATTAAAAATGTTTTTATATGAATTAAAAATTGTATATGTCACAAAAATCAAATAAAGTTTATAAAGTAGGGTGAGGTGACATATAAGGTCGAGTTTTTAGAAAAGATATAGCAAATTTTTTTTTTTTTTGAACATTGAACTATAAGAATCTGAAAAGTACTAAAATGTACTGAATTTTGTACAATTTCGTAGAGCTAAAAACTTGAAATTTGGAATGGGGACAAAGTTGAGAAGTAGAGTCGATATAAGGAGATGGTTTTGAAAATGTGTACCCATGTATACGAATAGTACTATATGGTACTATATTTGGTACAATTTTCATTTGGAGGTACAAATGGATCTAGAATCCTGAAATGTGAAATTGACATTACATCGGAACATTAGGATTGGAATATGGTCGTAGTTTTTGAAATGTTTTACTGGTACAATTTGGATTTGGGTGAACCGATATAACAGGGATCATAAAATTTGGAATTAGGATTTTTGTTGGGGGGTAGGATTGGCATATGTGGGAAATTTTGAAAATTCGTACTAATTTGTACTAAATGGTACTAAATTTGGATTTGGGTAAACCGATAGAGGTGGAATCTTGACATTTGAAATTAAGCTCAAAATTGAGCTATTTAGGATGTTTTGGAAAATGCTACGAATGTGAACTAAATTTGGTACAATTTACATTTTGGGTGAACCGATGTATGAAGTTTTGAAATTTGTACTTAATGGTATCCAATGTGGATTTGGGTGAACCGATTGAGCTGGAATCTTGAAATTTGATGTAAGGATCACTGTTGGGGTGTTGGATTGGCTTTGTATAAAGTTGTGCAAGTTCGTACTTAGTACACCTTAAATTTGAAGTTAGGGTCACTGATGAGGTGAAGGATTGGGATATAATTCGATAAATAGTAGAAAAATGTATCCCACTGAATATGCTAATAATCACGATACTCGATAAAAACACCAACTTGGCGTTTAAAGAACCTTAAATTAGAGCTTGGTGGGAAATGTAAGGACATTTCACAGTACTCCAACAAATCATTATGACTTTATAAACCACAAAAATCAATCAGTTATGTATATGAGTGTGATATATCAAAATATAAAGGCAATGAATTGATAAAGCCAAACGTGAGACAATCAATCGTATATGATCAGATCGGTTTGGGTCAAATAAATTAAAATCACCATCAAGAACGTAGTGAGAATATCTAGCAAATAAGTCGCAATGAAAGTCTTGAAAAATATTTACAGAATCGTCTAAAATCGATCTTTGTTTTACATTCTAACATTGGATCTATCTTGGTCATCCGTTCTCCAATGCTTTATATTACAGGCGTCTTATAATTTCTTATACGAAATTTGTGTTATTTGGATTTTACGCATGTGTTATTCGACGCTTTATATAATGTACTAGCAATGTCCGCTACTTCGTTAGCGAATGTGCTAAAAAAACTAATTCCGAATGTCATAATTTAAGCTCTATACGTTCAGCTAAATCCAAATAATCTGTTCATCAAATATAGTACTATTTAATACCTTTCGTACACATAAGTACACATTTTTAAAACTAATCAATGGATGAAATCGGTTATTCAATTGTAGCTTCAAATTAAATTTACAAGTTCTTAAAATCTTGACCTATGGTGGGGTAGGTACCCAAAAAAGTGTGGACTGATGATTCCCATCTTCAGACTTGATCTAGATTTTATAAAAATATTACGATTTGCAAAGTTTGGATCAAAACGGACATTCAATTCGGTTTATATTGCATTAATAAATTTGCAATATTTTCACACTTAGGTGGGAGGTACCAGGAGTGAACGGATGGCTCCTATCTTCGAATTTGATATATTTAAGATAAAGCTATTATGATGTGAAAAGTTTTAATCAAATCGAACTTTCCATTCGCATAATATTGAAGTATCAGAAGTAGTGGACCTATTTTCCTCACCTTCGAACAGGATTTAAGAAATGGGTTACTCTCTACGAGAGTTATCATGTGCACCAGCCAGCCAGACTCCAAATCATCTGAAACGATTTCCAAAGAAACATGGGGTCTAGAAATCGATATTTCCATGAAGAACAATTTGGCCGTAACAAAGCGTATATACCCTCCCACAAAGCGTATATACCCGCCATTACGCTGAGAGAGGATAAGAAAAACGAACATAAAAATATGTATTAAGGGGACCCTACCCCAATCTCAGTTAAAAAGAACACTTTTTTATTTTTTTATTAACCTACAACTTCATAAGAATGTCTCATTTAGATTTCATGTGAAAATCTTAACAACTCTTGAAAATATATCCGATTTATTGTGCCAGTATCAAGCGCCGGCAAGAGTGATTCTCAAACTTTAATCGTGTTTTTCTCTAAATCGTGTTTTAACGATTGACATGCACGATTATTCTGGATTAGAGGTGTGCAGAGAGAAAATGGTTAAATATGACAAGAAAGGCGACTTATCAATATCATTCGTAGATCTATGAGAATACTCTGAAGCAATACTGCGAGTCTAGAGTCCATATTGCAACACAGACATAGGCATAAACGACATATCGATCAAATGAAAACAGACAGAGACACAGAGAGTGTGGATGGGTGAGTACAAACTTTAATGGCGTCGGCGTAGACGTTGCCGTTAGAAAACACACACTGCATACAACTGCGTCATTAAAGCACAGTCGGGCGAACCACCGAGAGTTTCTGTGACATCTTGCCGAGACGAAAGCTCCGAACAAACTGAGCACAAACAATGGGGCAGTGTTGCCAATAATTCATATAAAATTTACAAAGGGGCCTGTGGTCCTACACAGGAGATTTATTCATTATTTTTTTAGACTTTTGAGATTTTAAATTAAAAAAATTTAAAATTTTGTAAAAAAATAAAACTTTGCGATAATTTAAAAAATAAATGAAAAAAATATTTCATATATATATATATATATATATTTGATAATTTTATTTAAAACACCAAATATTTTATTTTTTATTATTTCAAAATTTTATGTAGCTTTTTAAGACGTCCAAAATAATAATAATAAACGATTTTAGTAAAAAATAAATAAAAGTACATACATATTATATACGAATATAACAAAA